TTTGTGTTGTTTTCTCTTTTTGTTTGTTGGCTTTTTTTTTTTTTTTCTTTAAAGAGAGATTGACAATGTTGAAAGCAGGGCAATTTGGGTAGTGGGTGTCTCACACAGGGGATACTTTCACTAGTCATGCTAGTTATTACAGAGTTTGAGGCCAGAAACAGGCCAAGCTCGACCCTATCATATAACATAAATGAGGAGACTACCAAGGGAAGTTCAGCTTTCATTGCCCAGGTTAGTTAGTACACTTCATTCTTTATAAGGCAAGCAGTCTCGAGGACTGATTTATTTTAGTAGCACTGGAGAAAACAGTATTTCTTAGTACTGCTACCTCCTTCACTTTTCACTACCCATGAAGATGCCCATCAATACTTAGCAAGACAAATTATGAATAGGGGAAGGAAAGACTCAGAACAGAGGAAGAGCAAGCAGTAAGCAGAAGAAAGTACTGTTAAGACAACATTTACTCTGGCTTTCCAGCATCAAGTAAGGAGATCTAACAGAGAGAGCAAATGTGGGCTGCAGACTGAACCCAAGCAATATTTATGGTCTAATACATGAAATGGCTGCTCACAGAAGAAGAAGAAATTATTAGGTATCCAACATGATCCTTGAAGTAGACTCTGTGAAATATATCTCTGAAAGGATAGAGTAGACTTAAATGTAAAAGTCCAGTTAATAAAATATAATTTTTGCCAGAGGAATAAAATGAAACAGGAGGATCTTGGGCTGAATTCTTCATTGAGATATTGAAGTAACTTTATTCATTATGATGATTGGCTTCTCCCGCTGCTCCAAGGAGCATGATTCCAGACTGTTCTCTTTTGGTCTTGTTATTTGACAAGCATAAAGTGAACGGTAAATCTATTCCAATCTTTAAGCACTATTAACAGGAAGTTTTCAATATCACAGGATAGGTCTAAGCCATATAAAAGAGGAAAGCAATCAGTTTAGAGCCCTCTTAAACCTCTAAGTCATGCAACCAAGGAACCAATGAAACAGCTGTCAATAGCCAGTGTGCCAAGTGAGACTTCTGGAAAGGAAGGCAAGCAAAGAGGACAGTGATCTTCTCACCCAAAGAATTGCTGTAAAAAGTGTTGAGTGGATGTGAAAGATGAAAGCCCTAGCAGGAGAAACGCCTTTTGTGCTTTTTTGGCTAAGCTTCTAACAGTGAGCCATGAAGTTGTCATTCATCCCTTGTCAGCTGTAATATGTAAGCTACATGCAAGGCAGCTTCACAGAGCTGAAAGGAGTGCTGCTAGATAGCAGAGTTGGATTTGTAGCCTGCCATCAGGACAGCCAAACATGCACTGCTGAGGTGTGAATTATGAAAGTTAGTTTCCAAATGGCCAAGGGGCAATAAACATTAATATCAACTAGACATGGATCCATGCCAAATAACCCCGACTCTCAGGGTGTTTGGATTGCAAACATTTGATTGGGATCCAAGCTTTGCAGCTGGCCTTATCTCTGCAGTGGCCAAGCCAAAACCCCAGGGTTCATGGCCACCTGGCACATTCTGTGATCCAAGGATGCAGCGTCTGATTACCTGCTCCTTTGCCACCTCCAGCAAACAGTCCTTTTTATCAACAATCACTTGTGCTTCCTGTCTTGCTCTGGTATCTTTTCCCTGATTTGGTGTTTTTTCTCTCTCATATTTATACTGGAAGTTCCCTGAATAAGGGACAGGCTTTAAATCTGTTTAGAAGAACTCTGGGTAGAATTATGCAATATTGTGGAAAATCATCAACGGAAGGCATGGAATCTGAGCATGAACTTTATACCTTCCATGCAAAGCTTACAAAGGGCACTAGACTGCTGTGCTTGTGAAAGAGAGGTGGGTAAGCAGTACATTTAATAAACATACCCAACTCAACTTGGAAGACCTTCTGAAATTTTAAAAGATGTATTACGGCTGGTTAGCAGTAGGTGACTACAAAATCCAAGCCAGAAGTCTCCAGCCGTTCCTGGGGTCAAAGACTGGACTCTAACCGTCTGTGTTTATTCTTTCCACCTCAAATCCCACTGACTAAGTGTCAGATGGAGATTGGCAGTCTGGAGATTATAAGTGTTTTTATTCCCCAGGACATAATGCATAGAGTAGAGAATCACTTGACTTTGCCAAAATATAGTCTTGAGCCCCTCATTTCACCTCCAGCAGCCATAGCCATGCAAGGAGGTGTATGATCACCCTGTTCTCAGTGGCTGCTCTTTTTCTTCATGGACATTGGAAAGGAGGGGCTAACTTGGAGGATTTTTCAGAATATCAATAATTGGAACAAAAAATGTGTTCCAGAAGTACATGTACCTTTAGGGGGAAAACATTGCCAGGCCCAGTTTCTAATAAATGCCTTTACCCTAAACCAACAACCAGGAAACAATTCACATTTAATAGCTTAGAAAAATACCTAGGAACTTAGCTCTCTATTCTTCACTTACATCTAAAATCATATACATTTGTAGCAGGATATACTATGTCCCTCTACATGGGGTATATCAGAAGATACAACAAGAGAAAGCAGAGCCTCTTAAAAGGTTTGAAAAATTGAAAAAAGTCTGACCTAAAAGTCAGACTTTAGGGACAGAAACAAAACACTTTGCCTTGCCCTAACCCTTAAAGCCAGACCTGCATTGTGATCCTAAAATTGCTGAGATTTTTCCTGCCTTCTGTAACAGATATAGTTAGACATGACATAAATATCGAAGAATGCTGATTTTTGTTGAATTCTAAGAGGTTAATTAGCATGTTAATTATCAGTAATTAATATATGCAGATGCAGACATGAGAAATGGAGACTTTATTGGTATGAAATTTGTCTATTAGCTACACTTCACACTCATCAAGTCTAGCGTTTCTGAAGCAGTAAGACTATTGATCTACATTATGGATTCTGCTTGGGTAATTACGATGTGTATTTAATATCCTTATCTTAAAACAGAATAAGGGGATGCTGAGCTTGCATCTGGAGTTGTCTCAATTTCCTCTTCTAACTTAGTGGTTGAAAAAATACATGAAATTTTATGATCAGTTCAATCCCTGGTTATAACTATCTCCATTTTTAGCTGAACAGGTTTCCTGAGCCTACATTTCTGGCTATTGTAATTATAGTCTTAACTCATGGTTGCACAAGGAAAAACTTTGTGGACTCCACACTGATAAAATTTCTGCAGGGACCTCATCTGAGCTTCTAGGAAACAAAAGGTTAATAATATTGATTGAGTTGGAAGGATGAAACCTTTGGTTTCTGACATTTTGAGAAACATCTCACTTCAATGATATTTAAACATAGTGGTGTGGCAAGTCTTCATGGATTGATATCATATTAACGTATATCTTTTCCTTTGTTTTTTTCACTGTCCCCATTGATACAGCTATCATTCCATACCAAATTTTCTATATAGACTTTTCTATACACACCTCCTAAATCATGAGTATGTCTTTCTTTAGATGACAGTTTTTATAGTTATCAATTTTTTTTTGAAATAGTGTAGGTCTAGGACATACCAGGGAGTCTAGATCATCAGAATACTATAGCAAGTTGATGAAGATCTGTTCTGTCTGAACTGTACAAGCATCAGGAACATGCCAACATCATTAAGACACAGTTCCTTAAAATCCAGGTGTAGGTATGGATATTATTCCATATCTCCATATCCATAATCCATATCCATATGGAGGTATGGATTATATCATATATATCATAACATATATATATATATATATCATATATAACATGGAGATAATCCATATCCATATCAGTTAATACTGCCCAGCCTTGTCTCCACCTGTGTGGAAGTGTCAAAGATGTCTGGCAACATCTTCATTTATTTGGGGCGGAGTGCTAATGAACTTGTGTTTCCTACTTGGCTGAGGGTTTGGAGTCTTCTTTTTCAGTTCACATTTTCAGTTCTACCCATGTGTTGTCATCATCTTCTACATCTAGCTTGCTGCAGGAACCCCAGATTCATTGCCTGTTCTCACTGTTGACTGTTTTATTAAGAATTCATATTTTCCTGCAGCAAAATTCAGAACTGACATGCTTTGCAAGGACTGTCCTGGGACACATATCCCTGACAGTCTCATGAGACTATGGGGCAACCCGTCATTTGTGTGGGGGTTAGGAAGAAGGTAAGCTATGGTGCAAATCTAATGTAATGCAATTTAAACCAGAAACAGACAGCTCCAGGTTTTGCAGTATCACCTACTGAGACCCCAGGAAAGGTTGAAAGGTCAAGCTGTGAGCTGTTTCACTTTCATCTATTTGTGAAGGCCACAAAATTCTTTGTAGACATTTTAACAAATAATGCTTCAGAAATATATTTTCCCTTAACATCCTGCTCCTTTTTACTTCCCAAGTGTAAAAGCCAACAACAACTCAGCACGCATGTTTTAAGTTGAATAAAAAGAGCTGGTAAGAATGCATGTTTCACCCTTCCAGAGGGGTCATTATGAAAGTAGTGAGGTTAAAAATAATGTTAAAGTGATCTGCGGAAAAATGAACTCTTCATTTTTCTGCATCTTTTAAGACATTCTGAAATGTCTCTGCATGAACCCTTGTCTCATCCTCTTTCTTTTCCCTTTGCCCCCACACCCAGCCTCTCCATCTCAGAAAAGGAAAGTTTTTGGTACCTCTGGCTGTAACAAAATGAAGGGACCCTCAGTGCTCTCCCAGCTCCATCTTAAGATGAAGTCAAAGTACACAATTCCCCTTCTCACTTTTCCCCTTAGCCTCTAGCATGATGGTTACTGGAGTAGTGAAGGAAACCAGGCACCCAACCATAATGGGATTACATTACAAGGATGTTGCAGGATGCACCTCTCTGTAGTCTTCATGAGCCAATACTAATGCAGATCTTCAGTGAATGCCTGAGAATTTGCAGGACATTTGAAATGACATTGATGGTGCTTTACCCTTAAAAAGCAAAAGTTACTGGGCATTTAAAGACATCTTTTTTAGCAAACTGTTAACAGCTATTCAAGATTATATTTGTCAAAATTGCAGGAGAACTCATCCTGAAGTATGTGTAAATGCATCCATCCTGACCTACTACTGCTGGTGCTGTCCAATGGACTGAATCATTACCAGTTCAAGATATGCTGCTGTCAGAGGGAACTGCTAGCAGAACTTTCCTCTCTTAGGAAGATGCTCAACATCATCTTAAAAAAGGTAAGTTCCCTTCAGGTATCTCAGATAAACAGCAAGAACTACAGTTCTGCCCAGTCAGGCACTTCTACAAGCACTTCACAAAGTTAAGGGTACTTAGTGTCATATTTTTAAATGCTGAATCCTAAATACCTAGAGAACTCAAAATGAAGAATTCCTCATCGTGAAATTTCAACATGTGGTACAAATCAGTTTAGCAGCAGAGTCAGGTTTTCTGGATTCAGAACACAGGTTCATTCTCAGTGATGAACCTGTTGGCCCTGAAGGCAAGTGGAGACGCACCAACAGTTTGTTAGCAATGTCCAGGACAGTAAAGGAATGTCAGAGTTCTGGACACTACAGCAATTGAATTATTAATGAACTAATTAGCATAGTTATTACAGATATGTTAATAATCTTACCATCACAATGATTATGATAGTTATTAATATAGTAACAAGCATAATTAACAATAATAACATTTATTAGTACAGTTATAAGCTCTTTGTATATTATGTGAGAAGGTATGCTCTGGTAGCACCTTCTCACTTTGTCCTCTCAGATACTCTCAGTTCTCTTCTGCTTTATCCCTCCTTGGAGCTACTGTCTTTCCCTTCTCCTGTTTAATCCTTCCAATCTGTTGTCCCAAAGGTTACCCTTATCCCTGACTTTTCCCCTACCCCAGGGAATAGTCATTCTTCCATTCCACAGGATTTGTACCAGCTATGCACAGTGCATGTCATGAACTGTACAACCATCACTGGATTCACTGCACATGTGGGATATTCGCCTTCACTCTGGGAACTGGGGTAGGAAGCCCTAGTTTCTGTTGACATCAATGCACATTCACTCTTGATCTCTTTCTCTTGAAGTCTTCTGTGCAGAACAAATACAAAAGAACAAAATAAAATAAAATAAAATCAAGTGGAATAGTACTATTGAACATAATTCAATGATGAATACAACAAACATTTATTTATAATAACTAATATTGAGGAAATAGTTCTTATGAAACCTAGGCTTTCTGACGCAAGAAGTCAAGTTCAATGTGGTTACTGCCTTGGGTCTAAACATTTAGGACCAGGCTGTGCACTAGCTGGACTTTGAAACTACTAATGCAAACATTGGCTTAGAGTATACTACAGCAGCTCATAAAGCTCCATGTTACAGGGACAAAGTATCTGCTGTTTTGGTGTTTACTGTTTCTGTTCTGGGGTAGACTGCATGTAAAACATGGCAAAGGGGTATGGCATCTTCATACAGATGGAGGAACATCCCTTTCCTCCCACTGCGCCCAGACACAGTGGTGTATCTACAGAAGGAGCAGCTATTGAGCCTAGGATTTCTGAGGTGTACACAGGGGAAAATGCCCCCTTTTCTTATTAGTTCAAATGCAGCTGAGAAATTACAAGCACAAATTGCATTTGTAGAACAAAACACACTATCCTTTGGAAATGTGATATCTTGCTTTCCAAGGGTCTCACTACTACTTATAGTTACTTCAGTTTATGCCCGCTTACCCATCACCCTCAGGCCCAGATCTAACAGAGCAGCAAATTTTGATGCAGATGTCTCTTGTCACCATTAGCATTGCACAGCATCATGTGCAGGCTCAGAAATGCAACCACAGAGGGTAGCAGGTTCAGATGTGCACACATGCATGCATGCATATTCAGATAACAGTAGCATCTGGTCACAACTTTACATGTTGTCCCTTCTTTGTACACCTTCAAGTGCTGTCTTGCCAATAGACCGCAAATTGGCCTCCTTTTGAGAAGTATATTTTAATGTGTATATACACTCACATACATATGTCTATACATGGAGAGAGAGAGACGCCATGGCATATATGTAAGTATACAAATACAGCCTAATAACATATGACCCTGATTGGGCCACCAGATGTTGGCAATTATGAAACTAGCTAAAGGTAATATTAATGACACACAAACATCCTTTTTTGGAGTTCTTGTTCATGGTCAGAAACAAAAATGAATAATGAATTCTAAAATTGGTTTATAGCAGTGCCATCAACAGCATCTTTGCATCTTCTAGGTGTTTAGAGATGAGGGGCCCAGTCAAACCTGACTGGCATGTAGATAATCCCAAAGGAGGGACGTGCAAACTCCACCCTTTCCAGTGCTCACTTTTGCAGAGGATGCTGCTGTGACTGTGGCTCAGTCCCACTGTCATCAAAAAGGACAGGGAGCAAATGGGACTTATAACAGCAGTGCCTGGTTTCAGCAACTATGGAAGCCTGCCATATATGCTGTGCATCGTTTTTATAGCCCTGATCATGACACAAGATAGAAGCCGGAAAATAGTCTCTTATCATCATTCCACACACAACAATCTCTCTTTTAGTATGTGCCCTGGGCATGATCCTGCCAGTTTCACTGGCACAGATACAGAAGACAGTATTTACTCTTCTCTGTAACCTATTTACAGGGATTTCTTCTGAACTCCCAGAATTTCCCCTGGAGTGGGACAACCCCATGCTGTTCTCAGTTAGTGCTATTCATAACAATTTCTAACAACAGCAACAAACAACAAAATTCTGCTGTGTTGAGCCTGAAAGATTTCTGGCACAATATATTTGCCAAATACAGTCCAGGATTTCATTTGGTGGCTTTTTGACCAGCCTGCTCCTGAGCCAGGGTCCTTGGGAGTCCAGGGTCATCAACTGGGAATGAGCTACTCTTCCCACCTCTCTGCTTGGCAAGGGGAGCAGAAAAGGCCAGGAAACTTTAACTATAGCACAGACCACAACTTTGGAGTTGCAGGCAGCTGTTCAGCAGAAATGACTTTTCTTGCATCAGTGAAACTGTGGAAAACAGCAATGTTACTGAGCTGATGTAGCTTCTGGGGAAAATACTTAATCTGGGAAGTGTTATATATCTTAGGTTCTGAAAGAAAATGTTCACAATTTCTTGTTCATAGGAACTTGTGAAACATTTTACGTTTTGGTTCAGTTTTGATTAAAGTGAAGTTTGGAAAAGGTTAAGTTTTTCACACACCAGAAAGCTACTTTAACACCAGTTCTCCTTCTATTGCAAGCTAGGGCTAATTAGGCAAGTTCTTGGCCCAATAAGCAATGAGATGGCCAAATAAAACAAATAGCTATGCTACTAATCTCTCTTACATAAGTGAAACATGAGAGAATTTCACAGAATCATTGGTGTTATTGTAACTAGGATTTAAAAACAGGATAGTAAATAAATGTCATTGCCTTGTCAAAGAGATGTAAGACTTTTATACTGGCTGTATATTTGCCCTCTTGACTGCTGCAAAACAGTGGAAAGAAATATCGTAAAAATAGAAGCGCTTGAAAAATATGGTGGAAAATTAGGCAAATAACCAAAGCAGTTTGTAGTTATAGCTAAGTATTCAAATTTCCATTTACCCTACCCAGTCTTGAAATGCTAGGGTAAATTTGGGGTTGATTAGGAACACATGACAGGAGCCTCGATATCTCTCAGCCCCATAGCTCTCAGACACATGCAGTATTATGTAATGTCCTCTTCATGTTACATATGCTCTTCGGGATCATGACCAGGCAGGAGCCACCAATAAGGCTGACACTGATGTTGCAGGTACAGAATACAATGCTGCCGCCTAAAATGCTTGGATGTTGCCACCAAAGAACTGGAACATGAAGGGTTTCTGAGCATGAAAAGGCTGTAGCACCTGCTCCTCTACCTTCTTCCTATACAAGAACCTTCACCTTCCTGTACAAGGAGAACTGTCTTACCTAGCCAAGAAAAGAAAACAAGTTACCTGTCTGCCAGAGGACTGGCAGACTAAATACACAAAAATTTATTCACTCGCATGCAACAACGGCATGCAATCCGTTTGTCTGTACATAGTGGTGAATAAAACCATTGCAAGCTGAATGAAAACAAAAGGTATGCTTTGAGTTAATAGATTTTGTTCTAAATAAAATATGGAAATGGAACCCTAGAGGGAGGAAAACAACAATACTTCATGCAAAGGTAGTTAAAAAAAGAGACAGTTGATATGGGAATATGGAATTTAATGTCTTTGCATACAGTATTTTTAAAAAATGCCAATTTTCAGCTTTTACTTTGTGGAATGTGGACTAGCAGGTCAGTTGCATAAGCTGTTTGCTGCTCCCATTTTTCCACTGTTCATACCTTTGGCTTGGATAAATTCTTTTGAAAAACAGCTTTACAGAGCACAGAGACAGGTGCATTTGCTGGTGGAACTCTGTAGACCAACTAGTCAACTGACTATGGTAAACCTCTTCCCCCTTAAAACTGGTGTTTTGAATTGTTATATAAATTCAACAGTTTCTAAAGATAAATGTGACAGTGACAGCTCTCAGGCTGGGCAGGTCAGTTACTCAGTTATATAAGAAACCCGGCCTTCTGTGCAATGTCAAAATTTGCCTGCAATATGTTTGGCCAAAGATCAACTATAAACGGAGACTCTGATCTCTTCAGACTTCGTCTGACCTGCCTGTGGTTTTTCTAATATGTAGCCGTCTGCTCTGGGCCAGAACTACATTTTCTTGCATTCTAGATTTTATCATCATTTTACATTTTACCTTCAGTGTCCCTGTGAGAAAAAGACTGAGATTATTATTATTAATTTATTATTTTTTTTTAAAAAGAGGATCAAGCAAAGAAGAAGAAAGGTACCAAAAATTGTAGCCTGAAATGATTATCTTAAACTAAACTCCTTGGCAAATATTGGTATTTTCTGGTAAAAAAAGAAGATAGAAGAAGATTGTGAAAACACATCCTGCCCACCTTGCTCAAAACTGACTGGTGAGAAGAGAATTGGTTGTGGTTGCACACATGCTATGCATGAGTAATCAGGCCCTCAAAGCTTTCAAGTTACAAGCCTGAAAAAGGTAAGATCTTCAAGCAAGGGGTAAGTCTCTTTATGAAGAGATCAATATGAGACATGCTGCTGAGTGCTCACCACTTCTTCACAGTAAAAATCTGGCATATAGGCTCCTCAAAACAATAAATAATTTAGCACAGATCCCAAAGACTTCATCAGTTTAAAAATCATGCTTTCATTTTTTTTCTGAACATGCTGTGCCTTACATTACTATGGAAAACAACTTCCAGTGGAAAAAAGAAGACAAGTGTTAGTGAAATGGTTAAAGAGATGCTTCTAGGTTTTCCCCCGTAAATCTGATGGCATTTTGCAAATAGTTCCTTGTTTTGCTTATAGATTTCAAAATTATTGTCTCTGATTTACACGTGTTTTATACATGACCAGAGGAAAACATTTTTAAAATTAAATAAAATAATTATCTTTTTCTGTCCCACAAAATGGCCTGAGGGAGTCAGGATGTAATCTACTGTGCTTTATAGATCGCTTTTTGAAGTAGATTAGATAGGTGATTTTATATCTTTTAAAAATAGCATAGCAAAGTATTCCATAACAGCAAATTTTTCACACTTCATCCCTGGATCATGAAAATGGTCTTCTTCCATTATGCGCTCAATAATGAGCAAATCAACATGTTTACCATCTAATTGAGACATGTAACTACAGAGAAATCCAGCCATCTCAAGTGCAGGTGGTACAGAGGTCTTCAAAATTGTGAAGTAAAATACATCTTCAAATAAAATCACAGTGCAATGACCTTGGTCGAAATTCAGCCTCAGTTCTACATATATTGGGAACCAAATTCTGGGGTAACAAAGAATGAACTTCTTACCTTACAAATGATCAGCAGAAAGCCTTTTCCTTACTTCAGTCTTACTGAAACCTGGCATGTAAGTGGGACAGGCTTTGTGAATCAGCCCTGTGCCTGACTTGTGCATGGAGGTGAATGCTATCCTGAAAAAGGGGAGGAAAAAAAAAAGGTGATTCAGACTGAGCTTTTCTAGACTTAAATAACAGTTTAAAAATTTCAGATGTCAGAGTGCAACTGATTAAATTTGCAGCTGTCTAGGTGAAAGCAAGTGATTGGAGGATCTCAGAGGATTTGGGACCAGATTCACCCATATGGTTTCAGTCATTCCGACAACAGAAAACATCTGTAAAACTGTTTCCCTGGCCAGAAAAAGTTGAGTTTATAGTTACTTTGTGTCTCTAAGTATCTGATGAATACAATCCTTTGTCTCTAGAAGCATCTGAAAACCCAGATGCTTATCTGCAATTCTCAGCTAAAAAAATTGTGATAGGCATCTTGTGATAGCCCATCATGAGCTTTTCAGTCATTTTTGATATTGAGTAATCGGTTAGAAAATATTTGAACAGAAATTCTCTCTGTGCCAAGAGGAGTTTTTATCTTGTATGGACTTTTATGTTTATTAAAAGGAAGATCCTGTTCTGGGAAACTTGCAGCCTAGGTATAAAACTGCAGAAGAACAGTTAACAATCAGTTTAGATAGACAAATTAAGACAAACAGTGCAGGAAGAAAGTCTAAAAAGGAAGAGTAACTGAGCACTTGCATTTGGCTCATTTTCATGTCTTAAGGCTGCAGGGGGTTGTTTGTTTTTTTATCTGTGCTCCTTTGATGGACTCAATGGGAGGGTTTTATGAGACAAGAGTATTTTGAGAAGAGACTTTAAAGAATAAGGGGTGGAGGCACAGTGGATTGGGTCATGAAGGGAATTTCAGGCAGGGGGGCTCCATTGAAGAAGGCACCAGAGAAAGAGCTGGCGAAGCAGATGTGTGCAACTTGAGCCAAGTAAAGGAGACAAGGGTGAAAAGATGAGAGCAGAGCTCTTCTAGCAGACTTCTCATGCTTCTCGTCCCACTCCCACTTCAAGCCTGAAATGCATGGAAATAGAGGGTGGGGAGGTGCTGATGGAGAAAGAATTGCAGTGGCAGAAACTAACCCAACCTTCTCAGCCTTCAAAAAAGATACTTTTAGTGTTCTGGATTGAGAGTTTAGATTAGAAATTTTGTCTGTTTCCACTTCCTAGTGCTGACAGGTAACAATATTTTCTAATTCTTTTTAAAGATTCATTTGCTAGAAATCTGCTACTTTTCTTTGTGTTTGCTTGAGACCACTTGCACATTTGGATCTCCCAAATATCACGCAGAGAGACTCTGGAGACAGAGAATGAAAGAGGTGCTTTATTGTTTGCTCCCTTGCTAAGTCTCTCTCTTTCTCTCTTTTTTTCTCTCCCCTGTCTCTGAAGGAAATATTTCCAAATGTGCACTTTCTCAGTCTTGTCTGAATGTTCTTTAGATTAAAGGTCAAAGATACAATTCTTGTCATTGCATAGATACCAAAGAGAATGGTAAAAATGGAGCAGTATCAGTTTTGTGGACCACATTAAAAATAACTGAAAGCAACAGCTTTAGGACTGATTTAAAAGGCCATGCAAATGGGTAAAATCTAGCAGCCTTAGGACACAGTTTAACACTTTGGGACATATTGCATACTTTTATAAAGATCTTTAAATGTTGGCAGGAGATAAATCACCTTTTCCAATTATTTTGAAATTATGCAAGCTAGGCATACTACAACTTTTGATCACAAGTACTTACTGAAATGTATGTAATGTATTCTCTAAGTACTCCTATCAAGGTCACACTCAGATCTAGACCATAATGGCTCTCAGAACACTGGTGGTCTGAGGGCTCTCTGCCCTTCCACTGGCAGCAGTTAAACAAGTACAATAACATAGGAAACTCTGATTATAAAAATTCATCAAGTTAAACTAAAACACTAGCTATTAAACGGAATACATAAAGTAGGAAAGAATTATAATATAAGCAGTGTTGTGTTTTGTAAATAATGAATAGATATCTACTGCCCATGGGAGAAAAACAAACAAACAAACAAACAAAACAAAACAAAACAAAACAAAAAAAACAAAAAAAAAGACAACAATTTACTTTAGGCAACAAGATAGACAACGACATGCTAGCATTAAAGTGAAAACTTTTGTGTCCTTTTAAAAATAAGTACTGCATATACCTACATAGAGAGTAATGTATTCTTCAGTTGCTGAGAGCTAGTACAAAATCAACATGCTTTGACAGATAGGGATAGTTCTGAAAGGGTTATTCAGTGCTTAAGAGAGTACTTGTCACTTGCATAATTTTAATAGAATTAGCAGACAGTTTGATGGGATTACTTCTTCTCATGATAATCCATCTTCTCTGTAATACTGGGAATTTTTGGTGACAAATGTGGCTACTGGCTTATACAGATTTTTTAAACCTCGTTTTAAAAGTCATTGTGTCATTGAACATTGTTATTATTAGATATGGACATTTGCCAAAGCTCAGAGCTGTGCAGTCCCAGATCAGGAGAAATTTGGATTCATCCTTTCCATTTTGAAACTAACCTTCTTTAATTATAATTAATGTTTTTTTTTTGTTTGTTTTGTTTTGTTTTGTTTTGTTTTAATTATTTGTTAAATGTGGATTCAAGCAAAAAGGAGTATAGAGAATGAAAGTGTCCTGAAATATTTTAGAAACAGAGATGACACTGGAAGTATGGATTAAGGGATGAGCAAGAAGAAATCGGGTTGAATTAGCAGTAATAAAATAAAATAAACATAAAATAATAATAAAAAAAGGATAATAGGATGAAGGATATTGGGAACAGTTTTTACCTGACAATGCAGTAAAATGCTTGACCAAATTGAGTACTCTGGAAGACTCCTGCCTTCCCAAAGGTCTTATGAATAAGGGGTTAAGAATGCAATTGGTAGGGAACAGAGAGAATGAGTCTAGATGGTTTTATGGGCTCTTTCTGAGGATTAATTTCTGAGAATTCTATACAACCAGATGGTGGGGAAATGGCTTCTTTGCTAACCATGGAAAAGACCACCATTGTACGAAATTAGAACCAGTGACACTTCTCTGATTTATTTTCTGCTGCTTATTTGAAGTCCAAAGTAGGAAGTGGAAAGGAAGGACCCAACTTTGCCTGCCTCTTTTGTCCCATAGAAGTTCTGCTATTTTGTCCCATAGAAGTTCTTGTGAGTAGGTGTAGAGTAGTCCCCAGTGCTATGCGATGCACAAATGAGCCAGGACAGGGAAGAACAAAAGTGACCCTCATACAATGCTGTCATGACTGAGACTCTGACAAACTATTTGGAGGGATGAAGTGTAAGAATTGATATGGAAGAAGGATTCTCAGAGGAGTATAAAGGTTATAAGATAAGGGATAAAGTTGCTCTAGTGGTATCAGTGGGGAGATAACAGCTTTTTGGTACCCAGAAGTAATATTTCCATGGCTATGTACCTATGGCAATAGAGAGTATTCTTCTTCCAGAGCTAATATCACTGTGAAGCTGGAGGATATAAGTAGCAAAGTTCATTTTATGACTTCCCTGATGCTAGCTTATTGGGCAGTCCTCATTTGTATGCCCTTTGAGGTTTACATACTATCTTCCCTCCCAGCTCAGACCATTAAGACCTCTCAGGAGCCTCATTTCATTTGGAATAAAAAATGAATGTCAACCTGGGTCTAAGGGCTAGTCTGAGGCAGAAGCAGTACATAACACCAAAGAAAGAGATCATCTAAAACCTGTAACATATGAACATATGAATCTTTCCAAAGTATCTGTAATTTACTAGATATAGTTTCAATTGCACTTACGAAATTTCAGAAGTAAAAACTCTGGTATTGGTGAAAATTGTATTTACTATGAAATGTCATATTCATTCAAAATTGATTTCTACATGAGCTTGCAAGTTCACACACAGAAATGAGATTGTTCCTAGACCTGGGGGTAACGTAAGTAGTGTAAAAAAGGGTAAGTAAAAAAAGTGATGTGAAAATATATACCTCTCAGTGTAGGAGCAATCTTGATTTTTGCAGCATTATTCTTGAAAAGCATGGCCACAGCAATTTAAAAAAAAATAAAAATATAAAAAAATGTAACTCATCACAGAGATATAATTTCTTGTTAGATATCCTATCCCTTGGTATGTTTTCTTTTTTTTTTTTTTTTTCCTTTTTTTTCTTTTCTGTAGAGACAGTTCAAATGTGCAAAGAGAAAAAAAAAAAAGTATAAACTGAATTCTGAAGACTGTGACAGGTGAGATTCTGTTGAAAGTGTAGTGAAAAATGAAGACAGCAAGGACACTGAAGAATTCTAGTTTTTATTATCTCACTTGGACTAATGCACATTTCAGTTGCATGTAGTGCATAGCATATAAATGAGATACATTTGCAATAGACCAAAATGTAAGAAAAGCAACAAAACTCTTCTAACAGAGGATATGTAAGGCAGGCTTATCTGTACAGAATGCTCAGTAAAGTGTTCCTAAGGTAAAAAATATGTACAATTAGAAATCAACTTTTGTAAGCTGAAACACGGACTCCCCCAGAGTCCTGTTGGAAATCTGGATAATTTTAAGATCTGTATAGCACTCGGGCATACAGGACATTTCCTTGCATGTTCTGGAGTGTAACACCCTGGATCCCTATGAGATACTGAACTGACAGGCCCAAGGGGCCCAAACAGATTCAGCAGCAAGTAAATTCCTGGTGCCATCAAAATCAGAGAAAGCTCCCTTTAGTCCTTCTCTTGAAGCAGCTCTGCTCAAAGGCCTGTGGTCAAGGTGTTGTGAGGTCCTGGGCAGAGTAGCAGGAGTAGTTTTGAAACCAACCAAATCAAGAATGAAAAATAAATGGAAATAAACACACTGGCAAGTGTTCCCACATAAATATAATGCAGTGCAGAGTAGGAGCAAGTGGTATAATGAATTGGAATAGGATAGCATTGGTTTGGCGAGTTCATGCAAATATCACAAAAAATATGAACAATGCTTATGTTATTGTCTTTATGTAGTTCTCATTGTTTCTGAATATGTACAGACCTCCAATAGGCTATTTTGTGGATTGTTCATAGCGAAAAGGAAACATGAAACAAGAGTTATGCAGCTGCAGAAATTCAAGCCAAAATGCTTCCTAAGAGGAAGCCAACTGCTTGGCATCATGACCCTGTAGACAGGAGGAGAGCTGAGTGATATATCTGCAAGATGAAGGGTACGTGTTTCTGACATGGTGATATTTTAAATTGGGAAGAAATTAAATCATTTAAAGTTGATAACTTTCCTTTTCTGTTTGTCTGTGTATGAGTCAAAGAAAGTGCCTGTGGATGAGGGGCAGCATGTTCTGCCCTCTGCGTACCAATTAATACAACTTCATTTAATTGTAATTCTGTTTCTATTAATTTTGGAAAGAATGCCAACCTTATGGTGTTTTTTTGGTAAGTTTGAGTTCTTGATGAGTTTGGTTCGCAACATAGTATTTTTATTGTCTTGTTGGAGGGCAGCCTTCTTCAGGGCTTGATTCTTCCTTCTCTATCCCATGGTGTGAAAGAAGAGTCTGCAAGGTTAACTCACAGATTCTAAGATTTATTTTTTTTTCCTTTTGCTACTTTTGAAACTTCATCTTACATTTGAATGGCTTGCTTTTTCAATGTATTCTGTCTCCAATAGTTGCATGTTGTTGTGAATGGAACAACAAACATCAGTGAACACCATAGCTCTCCTTCAACAGGTGATTAAGGCTTTGAAGCAAAGCATTGTTGTTTGTTCCTGTAACTTTTAAAATGCTATCTTATTTGAATTTGCATTTGTTTGAACTTAATTTGATATTGATAAGATCCAGATAATTAACTATAATGAACTGTTTATTCAAGATATCTAGCTGTTGCTTATTCTACTGGATATTACGTTGCAGATAGCTGCAACTGAACAATTCTTTTCTAGTTTACAATATTTAGTACATGAGTAATTATTCCAACATACATGCATAAGAGATTAAATGAATATAGGAACAATCTTTCCTGTGGCTAAATTTTTGTGTGGTAAATGTATCCTCATGTTAAGGACTTGATAGAATACATAAGGCACAGAACATGGTATATATTACTTGATCTTGGGTGGTCTAGTAGATCATTCCTACAGCTCAAAGCCCCTTGCCATTTAGTGAAGATACAATATAGTATTCTTCCATGACTATTTACATTCCCTTTTTTGCAGCAACTTCAAAGGCATACATTAGGCATTTCTTTCCTCTTGTCTTTTTTGATCTCCCTGAAGACAAATTTTACTATGGTGACAAAATATAATACAGTCCACTCATTCATTAGACACAGATCTTATTTACAGCAGTCTTATTTATTGTAGTGAGAAAGAGAGCATATTCCTCAGAAATGGTCATGGAAGAAAAATCAAAAAACATGACTAGCAAACTTTAAAAATAAAAATAAAAATAAAAAATAAACTATTGCTTCTTTTATCTCACCAAGGCCTTTCTGCAGCTGGGGAAATGATTAAGAAGGCTCTGTAGAACAGAAAATCTGAGAAATCCTGTAAAATTCAATTTTATTATTTTAGAGGTTTCTGAGCAGTTATGTAGTCCTTTTGAAGCTCAATTATAATTCATCAGGAGGAGGCAAAGGAGAAAGATTTTAAATCTTCCTTGGAAATAGGAGTTACAGAGGGACTGGATATAGAATAAAGATAATGAGATCTTTCTGTCCCTTATATAGCCAGTGAAGATGCTTCATGTAATTCTTAAATGAGTACTTAGTTCTAACATATTTTAGATAAAGTTCCCCAAATTTCTCATTTGTAAAACCACTCTGAGTTTTCATGGAAGAAAAAACAGCAACAACAATGACGACTTATTCAAAACAAAATTAAAAGAACCTAAGAAACTGTGGGCATCATTTCAGTGATACGTGCTTCCATTTATAGTGTTTCCTTTGAGGATCTCAGCAGACATGAATCGAACTTCACAATGACTATGTCAAATATTTTGGATTATTTCTAGAACAATCACAACTATTTGCAGTCAGAAAATACTGATTTGTCAAAAAGAGAATAATGTCTTACTCTGCTGGTCTTTGTAAAGATTTGTCTTGATAACATGGCATGTGTTGGACTGATAAAATTCATGTTTTGACTTTTCCAGCTGTCAAATAATATTATATCCCGATACAGAATATGTAGGAATGATGGAAGTTCAACAGAGGGTAAGAAAAAAGGTTTTGACCCTCATGAAAGCAGACACTCAATTTTTAAAAGTTTATTTCATATAGGTCATGTTTTGATAATGAAAATTCTCAGAAATTGAATTTTGTAGCAACTTAAAATTATTGACCGTTTATTATAGTTCAGGAAGAATAGAAAATGATTTTTCATTTATGTATTTATTTTGTAACCTTTCATGAACTGAAAGGTTTTGAATTTTAGCAAAGGTAATTATGATATCAAATTTTCAGAGCTTCAAGTGTTCTGTAAGTACTACTGCATATGTTAAAATTTAAACACAAAATTGCCCAATCTGCAATGGACAAGCTTGTGATCTTAATTTGTAATATATCTGCAGAACAGGGATTTTACAAAAAAAAAAAAAAAAAAAGGAAAAAAATAGAAAAAAACTTTCCATCTGAGACACCAGTATTTCCTGGTATGTTTTTCCACTTGCATATAAACCATGCATCCAACATATCAACTATTCCCCCTCACCCCCAGGCTTAGGAACACAGAACCCTGAACACACTGACACGGCCGATCAAGTTGATAAAGTGGATATACATACTCTGTTCTTCATTAAAACTAGCTATTTTAGATATGCTGTACTGAATTAAAATATTCAGGGAAATACTTAATATATTGCTATGGAAAACTGACCAGTACAGATAGGAGTTTATTTAACGCAAACCAGTGGAGAACTGAAAAATGTCCTATTTGAAATCTCATTCATAATAAAACCAAGTGAAAATATTTGTAAATACAATTTCCATACTATCCTGTGAACTAGCAATACTAGCAATATATTTTTTGTATACATACCTATATATAGCAGTACATGCTCTTATACTTCAAAGATAGCTCCTGTATATCTAAAATTAAAAAAACGCTTGTTTTGTAGCTAGATCAAAGTTTTGTGACAG